CCGCACGCTAACGCAGCCTTTCCTTCTCCCTTTTCAGATGGCGGAGTCAGCGGGAGGACTCGGCTTGACGCAGCAGAATCCCAGGGAGACGGGGGCGGCCGCCTGTGCAGACAGCCAGCTCCCCCCGAGGGACCGCCGAGCCGTGCCTGGATTAAACCCTATGCGATGGGCTGCGAGTAATACCATTAGAGAGATGGATTTACTCACCTAGCAAGAAATTGAAAGGGCGCGCAGGGCTGGGCTTGGGATTATGTGATGGCGTTGGGGCGACGGCGGGGGCGGCGGCGTGGGCGGCGGCGGGGGCGGAGACTAATGGCGGAGGAACTCGGGAGTGAGACGGCTGGAGGAAACACTTAGCAGAGATTAACAAACATGCAGTCACGCCGACGCCCATGCCAGGATGAAATGGAACGTTAAAGCAATTGATCTCGGGGTTCTGAGGAAGGGGATGAAAGGCGTTGCGTTGAGCACGTAGATATGGATACATAATGGAAGGGAGAAAGGGAACATACTTTATATATACACACTTGCACACACACACACATATATATATGTGTGTATGAGTGTGTGTGTGTGTGTGTGTGTGTGTGTGTGTGTGTGTGTGTGTGTGTGTGTGTGTGTGTGTGTGAGTGAGTGAGTGAGTGAGTGAGTGAGTGAGTGAGTGAGTGAGTGAGTGAGTGTGTGTGTGTGTGTATAAATATATATATATATATATATATATATATATATATATATATATATATATATATATATATATATAACTACAATTATCATTTGTCTTACCACCATTGTTATCATCACCATCCTCTAACTATCATCACCACATCTCCCTCCTCCTCCCTCGCTCCCTCCCCTTCCTCACATCCGGTGCGCAACAATATTTGCTCGAATAACACGGGACCATTTGGCGCCGTCACCTTCTCCCGCCGGCCTTGGAGGGATATCGTTACGCTCGCATCGCACGTTGAAAAAGCAAAAGGAGAGAAAAGAGATAGAGGGAGAAAGACGGATGGAGAGGTAGGTAGGAGACAGATGGATGGATAACAGCTTGCTTGCTAGTCTAGATACACAGGCACAGATACACATATAACACACGCATATCAACACACACACACACATATGTATGATAAAAAAGAAAACAATTATAAATGTATATGTGTGTGAACCGTATTCATGTTGACAAATGTGGAAAGGTATGAATGAGAACGAATATCTCACAATACAAGAGTGTATATAAACGGTTTCGTGAAACCGGTTAAATATATCTCTTGTATTGTGAAGCTATTCGTTCACATTCATACCTTTCATATATGTGTAATATATGTGTGTGTGTGTATGTGTGTGTGTGTGTGTGTGTGTGTGTGTGTGTGTGTGTGTGTGTGTGTGTGTGTGTGTGTGTGTGTGTGTGTGTGTGTGTATATATATATAATATATATATATATATATATATATATATATATATATATATATATATATATGTATATATATACATATATATATATATATATATATATATATATGTATATATATATATATATATATATGTATATATATATATATATATATATAATATGTGCATATATATATTATATAATATATATGCATATATATATGTATATATATATATATATATATATATATATATATATATATATGTATATATATAATATATATATATATATATTATATATATATATATATATATATATATATATATATATATATATATATATATTATATATATCCATATTTACATACATTGTGTTTGACACACGAGCAACAGCCATTCCGTCAGCGGCGCGCGTGCGGGCGGGCGACAAGCGTCATGTATCGCCCTGTACTTGATAAAGGTTATTGCGGCAAAAGGCTTTCAATCCAGAGCAGCTTTTCATTGGCCCCGTTCAATAACGAGTGGAGACGAGCGCTCGTTCATTGGAAGTACGCACGCATTCAAAACATATTTTAGAACGTTGATTTAGGTATACATATGTGCACGCTGTATGTAGTTTAGTGGGTCTGCCTAGAGTATTTGTATACATACAAACACATAGATGTGAATGAGTGCATGTATGGATAAGGCCGTACAGATTGTACATCTGTCCATGTATACACGTATATCCATAACCGTCTGTGCGTTCATGACGTGCGTACATGTATGAATCCTTTCTTGTCCCATCCGATCCTAGTTACGTACAGAAAATAAGCAAACAAAGAAAACCGAGGAGCGAAAGCAGACACCGAAGGAGATATGAGGCAACAAGAATCTGCTGCGCCTCCTTCTGTCATGCCCTCAGGTACCTTCCTCTACGATATCCCCAGATACCCTTGAGACGTCTGCGGGTACTTTTCCCGGAGATGACATCGGGTAACTCCCTCTGGGATGCCCCTTTGGTACCCCCCCCCCCCCCCTGAGAGGACGTCTCCCGAAGGACATCTCACGGACGAAGTACCCGAGGACGACATCCTCTTTTTTTCCCATTAAACGTTTTCTGGTACCTTCCCATTAAAGCCGAAACCACAACCCCAAAACGTTTTCTGGTAAAAAACCTTAAAACGTTTTCTGGTACCTTAAACGTTTTCTGTACAAAACGTTTTCTGGTACCTTCCCCTAAACGTTTTCGTTTTCTGGTACCTTCCCTAAATTAAAACGTTTTCCCTTCCCCTAAAACGTTTTCTGGTACCTCCCTCTGAGAAGTCCTCTGGTACCTCCACTCGAGACGTCCTTTACTACCACCTCCCCCCTATGATATATCCTTCGATACCTCCGCCCGCGATATCCTCGGGTACATCGGGTGCAGCAGGATCCGGGCGGCCAGTGACTCGCAAAACGTGTTCCGGACTTGTCTCGGGTTCGTGCCAATCTCGCTGAGTGACTTCACCGGACTTCGAGAACCGTTGTGTCAGAAGGAAAGGGAAGACCAAGGGGCCAAGGCGGATGAGAACTGGGGGGGGGGGGTAGGTTAATGTGTTTATTGATTTGTTTACCTTACTGTCCGTCTATTTACTCGTCTGTCTATCAGTCCATTGGCTTGTGTGTCTAGCTATTTATCGGTCTTCTTGCCTGTTCTTCTACAACCGATCTACCATTCTATAAATATATATATATATATAATATCTATATATATATATATATATATATATATATATATATATATTATATATATATATCATATACCTTCCCATCTCAACCTGTCTACCTATTCACCTACCACACCAACCATGTATATATATCATATATATATATATATATATATATATATATATATATATATATATATATATGTATGTGTGGTGTGTGTGTGTGTGTGTGTGTGTGTGTGTGTGTGTGTGTGTGTGTGTGTGCGTGCGTGCGTGCGTGCGTGCGTGCGTGCGTGCGTGTGTGTGTGTGTGTGTGTGTATGGCTGGAAACAGTAGGGTATATAGGATAAAGGAAAAAAAGGGTGGAAGTATTGGCGAATGAATGAAAGGGAGGATAAAGATAAGGGAGGAAGCAGATAAGAAAGGATAAGGATAAGTGAGGATAAAAGTAGAGAAGGATAAATACCGGGAGAATGAAAACAAAGAAAGATATAGATAAGAGAAGACACAGATAACGAAAGATAAAGTTTAAAAAAAGTCTAAGACAAAAAGGAAAGATTAAGACAAGGCAAGATAATGCTAGAAGAAGACACGGGAGGATAAAGCCAAGGAAGGATAAAGGTAAGGGCCAGCCGAGGAAGGGAAGGGATAGACCCCCTGCGAACCGCTACGTGCATATGCATGACCCTGGGGGAGAATGGGGTCGCTGGAGGAGATTTCGGCGGCGTGGGCAGAGCCAGGCCTATGTATATGGATGTATGCATATGTAGAAAATGTTATGTACATGTATGTATGTATGTATGTATAGAAACGAGTGAATTCAACATACGTATGCATACAGAGACACGTAGGCAGGGGTTATAGAAAAAGCTGACATACATACATAGACAGATGGGTCAAGGGATAGATAGTGATAAAGCAGATATTTCTCCTCTTTCTCCTCTGATTTTTTCTCTCTTTCCTATACATATATATATATATATATATATATATATATATATATATATATATATATATATATATATATATATATATATATATATATATATATATATATATATATATATATATATATATATATATACGTATATGTGCGTTTGTGTATGTGTGTTTGTGTGTGTGTTTATGTGTGTGAGTGTGAGTGTGTGTTTGTGTGTGTGTTTATGTGTGTGAATGTGTGTGTGTGTTTGTGCGTGTGTGTGTGTGTGAGTGTGGGTATGTGTTTGTGTGTGTGTTTGTGTGTGTGAGTGTGAGTGTGAGTGTGAGTGTGAGTGTGAGCGCGCGCCGGAAATTTTGTGTTAGTATATGTTTTAGACACAGATACGGTTGTCTACAGAAGGTTGCAGATATAAAGAAACCAATACAAATAAATATAAAAAAGGCAAGGAGTAAGAACCAGATAAACGTACATGCACGTGTGAGCACCACTGGTAACAACGAGACGAATCAGGAGAGCTGGCAACACGGAAAGGGGAATAGGAGAAGAGCGCAGGAGAGAAGGGGAGAAGGGAAATGGCAGGAGGGCGAAGGGGGAAAGCCGAAGGGGTGGAGTATGCAATGGACAATTCTTGAGTAAACAGCTGTCAATCTTTGGGGGAGAAGAGATGTTTGTCGAGTGCTGAAAAACCTCTCCTCGAAGAAGGACTTCCCTAAAGGAAACCCCATTTTTTCTTCCTGGCTGGCGAGCGACGTGACTGAGTGGAGTTTCCCGTGCAGAGTTTGTTTGTCATTCCAGGAACTTAATCTGAAGGGTTTGCAACGTCATTTTTTTCATTTATCTATCATTTTTCGCAATTAAATATCATTTATTTATTTTTTTACTCTTACTTGAATATATATATATAAAAAAAAAAAGTTACCCTGACGTAATTCATGAGACCGCATGCTTTAACATTTTATTTCTCTTTTCCAGAAATTATATCAGCTCCCCTCAAAGAATAACCCAACATGATTAAACCACTTACAGAGGCACAGAGCCAGAGAGGCGGAGTGAAGGAGGTCTTGGCTCTGGGGGACAAAAAGGACTCCTCTTTGGGCCACGTGACTACGTCCTCTCCATAGGACCGTTTCTAGCGAATATGTCTCGTTTCTGAGAACCAATTTTAGCAGAACAGCAACAAAAAATATCTAGAAAATGCATTGCGATAGAAGTAGGACTACATAAACTAGGGGAACTATTGGGATCGCTAAAATGTCGAGAATATTAAGTGTTCCTTGGTGACAGACTGGCAGAGAAGGAGGAGGAATCTCGCAATCAAACAGCGTCGCCGGTGCTTTCCTCTTCTCAACTATGTGTAATCCCGATTGCGAAATTACGGAAATGATATTCATAGAAAGACAGAAGCTCTGGTTATAGCCTCGGTCCTTGGCTAAAGATGATATAGATGACACCCAGTAATCGGCTTTACTGGATGTCTCGACCAAAGAACTTTTGACACTAGCACCGTCTAAGCAGCCGTCGCGTAGTGAATAGTGGCTCAGTAAGACAGTGGCCTCGTCCGTGGGCGGCCGGAGCGGGTTGGACGCCCACGCCCGGAGATGGTGTCCCTCAGGCCGCCCACACCGGACCATGGGGACGTGCAGGGGACCTAGCAGTCCACCACAGCCACTGCGTCACTCTGGACGGACACCGGAGACTCTTCATCTACGGGCTTGGGTTTGGGCTTTCGCTCTCGCGTGGATGATCTGCGGGGCGGCGAGCGGCGCGTGCCCGAGGGGGTGCGAGTGCAAGTGGAAGGACGGGAAGGAGACGGTGGCCTGCATCAAGGCCGACTTCAACGTCATCCCGCGGAACCTCGACCCGTCCACTCAGGTGCTGGACCTCCAGTACAACAACCTCAAGGTGTTGCGCAAGGACGCCTTCGTTGACACGGGTCTCGTCAACCTCCAGAAGCTGTGGCTCAACTACTGCAACCTGCAGCGCATGGAACGCGGCGCCTTCAACATGCTGGCCAACCTGGTAGAGCTCGACCTGAGCCACAACCTGCTCCAAGTGGTGCCTACGGCCGCCCTCTGCGACGTGCCCGGCCTGCGGGACCTGCGCCTCGCCAGCAACGCCCTCACGTCCCTCCCCGATGACGCATTCTCTGCCACGCCGGAACTAGTTCGTCTAGATTTGTCGAATAACAGTATATATAGTTTAGAAGATAATGCATTTAGGGGTCTTGCAAGCTTAGAAGTGTTGAAGTTAACAGATAACAGGCTAGTTCACATTAGTCAAGAGGTGTTGGTGCCGCTCATGGCGCTGCACGGGCTGCACCTGAACGAGAACCCGTGGCGGTGCGACTGCAGCCTGCGTCCTCTCCGCCGCTGGATGATCGACCACAAGATCGCCGGGATCGTGCCGCCGACCTGCGCCCGCCCGCGGCGCATCAGCAGCCGCAGCTGGCACACGCTCGGCCTGAACGAGTTCGCGTGCGCCCCCGACGTCAGCGCCATCACGCCGCGGGTCATGGCCTCCAGCGACGAGAGCGTGTCCCTCGCCTGCCGCCTGGAGGGGGACGTGGAGGCCAACGTCAGCTGGTATCACGGGGAAAAACGCTACAAAGTGCGCTACAAGGTACGCGATTCCGTCTTCAATAACACTGCCAAAGTTTCTAATCTGACCATAGGGAAAGTGCGAGCCAAGGACCAGGGCGTGTACTGGTGCGTGGCGCAGAACAAGGCCGGCCGCGCCGAGGCCAACGTCACGCTGGAGGTGTCCAACGAGATCAGCGAGTACCGCCTGGTGGCCATCAACCCGGCCTACATGACCGGGGGGCTGCTGAGCGGCCTGGGCTTCCTCGTCACCATCCTCCTCCTCGTCAGCTGCATCATCCACCGCCGCCAGAGAGTCCGCAGGTTCCGGAGGCAGGAGGAGGACCGCGAGGGGCGCGAGATGCTGGCGGCGGCTCAGTCTTCCATGTCTCGGGGCTCCTCGTGTGTCGCGCAGCCCGAGGTGGCCGACTACCACGCCGTGCCCTCGGGGGACCTCGACGACGCGCCCCTGCACCCGCTGCAGGCCAAGCAGTCGTACCTGGGCCGCGGCGCCGCCAACGGCCACTACGCGCGCGACAACTACACCGATAAAATCCAGCGCTACACCGACGCCGTCTCCGACCCGCGCAGGTACAAGGACGACCTCGATGTCGACCTCAGGCTCAGCACCGTGTCCTCGAGCTGGCCTCCAACGACCTGGCGAGGACGCGCAGTGATCTCGGGGAGAAGATGAGCCTGAAGAACCTCGAGCACGAGACCGACATCCTGCGGCGGGAGTGCAGTCCCACGGGCTCGATCGTGTCCATGATCAGCACGGGGCCGTACCCCGACCTGCTGGACCTGCCGTACGTGCGGCGCCACGAGGAGTATCCACAGGGCTTCCACTCTCTCAACTCCAACCTCGGTTCTATCACCAGAAAGTAAGTGCTTCTGTCCCACGTTATTAGTCAATATCACGCATTCAAATAACGTCAAATCATTTAGTTTGTTATAAATCATCATCCATAATATCTGACATTCAAAATATGACGAGGAAGTAAGATGATTTATTAATATCCATGTAATTCATTTATGGTAATATTAAATGATATTTCCGCACTGTGATAACTATGTGTCATAATTCAAAATATCTGAAAGCTGAGGATAAAGTGCAATTCTTTATTTACTGAAACTCATGTACAATTAGCCAGTGAATATAAAATATCTTTTCACGTTAATATTAAATATTAGTTAATACATGATTAATTTTACTGAATATTCTAGTGTAATAAGGTAAATATTATCACAGTCTATAAGATTAAACAGTAAATTAACTACTAGATTTATGGAAAACACGTAAATGGTAATAATTGTAAAGGTTTATAAAGAGATAAATCAGTATATGTCTGATTGCTGATCAATCAGTATTTGAGAATAAAATAATAAATAACTTGATACGATTAATCACACACACACACACACACACACACACACACACACACACACACACACACACACACACACACACACACACACACACACACACACACGCACACACGCACACGCAAACGCACACGCACCACGCTAACGCACCCGCGTGCGCACATACAAACAAATAACACACACATACATACTCATATATGTGTATATGTGTATATGTGTGTTTGCATGTATTTGCGTGTGCATACATGTACACATAAACACAAATACACATGATTATCTATGATTAGGAAATCAACATCAGCTTCACTAATTTTTGCTTTAATGTTGTAGCATTTGTGTCTAATTAAATAATTTTCAGGTGAATAAATCTGTGAATTACGTTGGAGTCTGTCCTAATGTAGTGTAGATCAAACATCAATATTTTGTTTTCACCATGACATTGGGAATTTAATAACAGTCCCATTTCTATGCCAGTTATAACATTATGTAATTCAATAATTTACAGACGAATAATTCGACAAATTGATTTACGATTATTAAGCAATACTGATTCCCGCAATTCTGTTTATAATTCCCTCCTACGCACTTGGCGGTAGACTCTGTGGGTAAGCAACACTGTGTGGTATCGTGAGGTAGATAAGTGGTAGATAATGGTAGTGGGTTCAGGATGCTCTAGAAAAAGGGGGAGGGGTTGTAAAAAGAAGGTGTCTAGAACACGTCTTTGACATGTCTGAGGCCTTTCCCATGTATTTTATGATTGAGTTCAGCCATTCTGTACTTACTGTTGCTTAGGTAATTCAGGTGCTCAGGGGCGCGATCTGTCACACTCAGGGAACCTTCCACCCCCTTTCGATCTGCCGCAAGTAGAGATACTGCAGGGAAATTGTAAAGGGGGTCGTAGGTGGTAGGTAATGTAGATTGGTAAAGTCAAGTTGATACCTTATCCAAGTGGACATAGAGGACATCTGTGATGGAAGATATATTAATACAGTGGGAAATGGCACTATATAAAAAAAAAAAAAAAAAAAAAATAATAATAATAATAATAATAATAATAAATTGCAATGAACCCAACATTGCTGTTAGACCTGCTAGGCAATAGGTACTAGGTAAGTAGAATATGCTAAAAGGCAAATAGTACATGACACAGTGTAGACACGTGGTGAGCTCTGTAAGTAGATGTGATGTACTATTATGCAAGTGGACTTTACATGTATTGTAGGTATATTGTGGATATTAGATTGTGCATTTAAGTAAGGTGGTTTATACTGACGGAAAGCTGCAAATATTGCAAAGATGCATCCTGTAGGTAGATGATATTCGTTCTTATAATCGAAAGTGGGGAGAGATAACAGTCTCGAATTAATACTGTCAGTCAGAATATGTCGACCTCAGTATACTTCTACGCGGGGAAACCTGCAGTGTTTGTTGATTTTTAATTATGTTGTTGACAACAGTAATGGTCAGATAATCATGCGATAATCGTGGTAATAATAAAACTAATGACGACAATCACATTGTTGAAATAGTAATTGTAATTGCATTAAAATCTTGATTATGATAATGGTCACGATAAAATTCTGATGATAAAAAAATAGCGGTATTCACAACTATAAAGCTGACATTGGTAATGATAACAATAATAAAATAGATAAATAGATAAAATAGATAATAATAATGACAAAACGAAAAATGATAATTATGGGAATAACAGAGATCACATGTAGAATTGTGGTGTAGATCATTAAAAAGAAATCACAATAATGATTGTCTTTTTGATAGTACTGATTAAAGTGATATAATGATAAAAATAATTTCGAGAATGATAGCCATATAAGAATAATGGTAAAATAACAGATAAATACGATAATAATGATAATTATATAAAAATAACTAGTACTACAACTACAAAACGTAATGTTAATGCTAATACTAATAATATGATTGAAGACGATGATAGTAGTAATACAGTAGTAATAGTAATAATAATAAAGATAAGGGTAAGGATGATTGTTATCATTATTATTATTATTTCAATAGTCATAATAATGATAATAATAATAATAATAATAATAATAATTATTATTATTATTATTATTGTATTATCATTATTATCAACATCATTATTATTAATGTAACAATAATGATCTAAGAATAATGGCTATAATAATAGTAATAATAATAACGCGAACAATATGAGTAATAAAGAATCTAATGATAACAATGATAATTATAATAGCTTTGATTATAAAGATTGGGGTAAGGATAACAGCAACATTGACAATAACAAGAACAACAATGATTATGACAGCAATAACAATAATTTCAATAATAACAATAACAAAATGATAATGAAAACAACAACAGCCATAATAGTAAAATGGCAATGATAATGTGAAAAATATCATTGCTAATAATTATAAGAAAAATAATAACAAAAGCAATAAAAATACCAATAACAATAATGAAAACAGCAAAGATAATGATAATGATGATAATGATAATAATGACAATGATAATAATGATAATAATAATGATAATAATGATAATAATGATTATCATTACCATTACCATTACCATTATCATTATTATATATATTATGATAATGATAATAATAATCATCATCATCATCATCATCATAATCATAATAATCATAATAATCATAATAATAACGATAATGATAATGATAATAATGATAATGATAATGATAATAGTAATAATAATAAATTATAATGATGACAATAATGATTCTAAAAATAATGATGATGATTACAATGATAATGATGATAATGGTTATGATGATAAAAGTGACAATGATAATGGAAGACAATGGGGATAATTGTAATGATAATAACAGCAATAATATAAATAATAATGAGCGTTATGATAATTATAATTAAGTGATTAGGATAATATTAATAAAAGAATAATGATGATAACAATAAAAAATAAAAATGATGATAATAACAATAATAATAATAATAATAATAGTAAATGATAATAATAATAATGATAATGGTAAATAATAATAATAATAATAATAATAATAGTAAAAGCAAATCAAATAACAATAGCAATTATAATGATAATATCAATGATGTTAATAACAATAATCATGAAAGTAACAATAACAATACAATAGAATAAAGTGTTATAACAACGACAACTGTAATAATAATAGTAAGAAGAATATCATAATGATAATGATGACAATGATAATACATAATAAATAATAATAATAATAATAATGATACCATAATGGTAATAATAGTAATAATGATACAAATATTATAATTATACATAATATATATAATGATAATATATAATATATTAGTAATAATGATAATAATAATGATATAATAATAATAATAATATAATAATAATATAATAATAATAATAATATAATAATAATAAATAATAATGATAATAATGATAAGCACAATAACAATAACAATGAAAGCAATAATAATGACCATAATTAATAACAATAATGGTAGTTATGATAAAGATTCCAATAATTCTAATAGTGCGGATAGTAAAGATAACAATTCCTAGTGAAAATAATCTTTAAAATGACAATTCTAAGTTAAAACAATCTTAAAAATGAAATCTAAGTGAAAATAACCTTAAAATAACAATTCTAAGTGAAAAAACCTTAAAAATAACAAATCTAAGTGGAAAATAACCTTAAAAATGAAACAATCCTAAGTGAAAATAGCAACAGCAACACAACTAACCCCCCAAACCCTGATCCAAAACCATCTTTCCTCTTGCTTTCCAGGCCGAGTCTTTCCCGTTACGCAGACCGCCACCGTGACTTCCCGTCTTACGATAGGAGTTCACTGAGCGCTAGGTGAAAATTATAACGAGTAGACTCTCATGTAGAACAGTGCACGGGTATCATGTTAGCTCTGGCTTGACAAAAAAAAAAAAAAAAAAAAAAAAAAAAAAAATACATACGCTTCTTGTGACAGACATCTGTCGCGGATCTGCATGTACCGTGGTTGGAAGGATAGAGATATTGTAAGTTAATGGAGTTTGTTTTACTATGTACTCGTTTTCCTCTTTATTATTTTGTCTCTGCTTTTCTTTTTTTTTATATTTGTTTTGTTTTTTTCTATTTTTTTATCTCTCAAGTTAAGGACATGTACAGGGATTGTGGGAACATTTGATAAAGATATGAAAATCGTTTAGTAGGAAAATTGTTGGTTTTTGACACATCTAAGAGATTAAAGTCCATACATACAGGCAAACAGATTAAACAAATGATTTACCTTTCTTTGTTTATTTTTTTATTATTATTATTTCTCTGATTAATGTCTTCCAAACCGCATATTTGAATAAAACCCCACAAGTTATTCCCCTGCATTTTTGTTTTGATAAAGAAAGGGTCATAATTGCATGCACTAGCAAAGCTTTACCAATTTTCCCCCCATTTATTTCCACTGCTGTATGTGCTATATATATCACATCCTAGTATTACATTGATGTCAAAAAAATAATAAATAAAAAATGTGAAATTTCATGCAACTTGTTGAAGAAAAGAAAATTATATGTTTGCAGTTCTTATAAAATAAGGGACTTGCATGTATATATATTTAATTATTTTTCAGAAGTAGGTTCTCACGCTGCTAATTAGTCAAAATCCGCAAGAAATCTGTTCAGTTTGTTCATTTGAGGCATATCCGATTTTTTTCCTAGTTAGGCCTAGTTCATGATCTTGCTTTCTGAGTGAATATAGTGTTTACTTATATATTTACAGAATTCTAAAGTACTGCCATATCTACAATTAATATTGGTAAATTCGTAAGAAAGTGAAATTGAAGATTATCAGAAAAAACAGGAAAAATTAATTGAAAGTAAAAGAAAAAGGAATCTTAATGTTACTAAGAAGTAAAATTATAGTTATAAGTATTGTTGCTTCATGTAAAAATCAACCTTGTAAAAAAATGCTAGGAATTTTCATCTTCATGTAAAATATACCTTTAGTTTGCTATAATTTTCCTGGTTTGTATTCCCTTATATTTTAATTATCCTTTCTAATGTATATCTATTCATTATCTTTGCTATAGTTATCAGTTGATTTACCAATCATACTAAAAAGAAATTGTCATATAATTCTTTCTTAATTTAGGACAAACTAGTCTTGAGTATTCATAGTAAAACAATTTGTAATTATGTAATTCTGTGTAATTTTACCAAGTGTAGATTTACGCATCTCGAAAAACACAAAAGTATAAAACAGAAAGAAGGAAGAAAATAAGAAAAAACTTAATGATACGAAAAACTAATAAAAAAAAGGATGAAATGAAAGAGAGAGAGAGAGAGAGAGAGAGAGAGAGAGAGAGAGAGAGAGAGAGAGAGAGAGAGAGGGGGAGAAGGAAGAAAACCTCAATCTTCATGTTCTAATCTTTCTTCTCAATCTTTCATCTTTCTCTCTCCTCCTCTCTCTCCTCTCCTCTCTCTCTCTCTCTCTCTCTCCCTCCTTCCTCTCTTCCCCTTTCCCCCCCTCCCTCCTCTCTCCTCTCTCCTCTCCTCTCTCTCTCTCTCCTCTCCTCTCTCTCTCTCTCTCTCTCTCTCTCTCTCTCTCTCTCTCTCTCTCTCCTCTCTTCTCTCCTTCTCCCTCCCTCCCTTCCTCTCTCCTCTCAAAAAAAAAAAAAAAAAAATAATAATGAAAAAATAATAAAGATTAATAATAACAAAAAAAATCAAAAACGAACCCCCGCAAACGAGACCCCAAGACAAAGACCCCAAAGCGCCACCTTTTTCCAACTTGCTGCTCAGACTTCCTCTCGCGCCAGGTGCTACAGCGACCTCAACCTGACCATGGGCGAGCCGGCATCCCACGCCTCCGTTCACCCGAGACTGCGACGCATCTCCACCCGCCACCGTCGCTGCCCACCACGCCATGCCGACTCGGAGGACACGCCATCATGCACGATCACGACGCCGCAGGCTCAGGAGGAGGATGGATGAATAGGTAAGGTGGGTAAAAATGTATATATATATATATATATATATATATATATATATATATATATATTATATATATATATTGTATGTGTGTATGTGTGTATATGTGTGTGTGTATATATGTGTGGTGTGTGTGTGTGTTGTGTGTGTGTGTGTGTGCATGTGTGTCTGTGTGTATGTGTGTGTGTGTGTGTTCATATACGTGTGTGTGTATATTATATACATGTATGTGTGATATATATACATGTGTGTGGTGTGTGTGTGTTGTGTGTATTATATACATGTGTGTTGTGTTTTATATTACATTGTGTGTGTGTTATATATTGTGTGGTGTGTATTATATACATGTGTGTGTGTTATATACATTAGTGTGTGTGTGTGTGTGTGTGTGTTATATACATTAGTGTGTGTGGTGTGTGTCTATACATGTGTGTGTTGTATTTGAGAAATATTCTTATAGACTCAGACTAACTTTTCCGCGGCTGACTCCGCCCCCGCACTAACACCAGCCTCCCTCCCCCACCCCCCAACCCAGGGGCGGTTACCACTCCCTGGAGGGCGCTGGCGACTTCAGCATATCCAACCCTTACCGCTACCAGTTCCGGTCGGCGCGACTGGAGAAGTTCCTACAGGAGCACCGGAGTCTTCAGGAGCATCTCTACCGCTCCAAAGGCTCTCGGGACGGCGTCATCCGAGCTGGGTCCTCCTCCAGGTGACCGGGGCCTCGCTAAGGGCATAAGAACTTTTTATCTTTAAAGTTTTCGGTTTTTGTTGTGAAACACACACACAGACACATGCATTACACATTTCAAAAGCTTTTGGTAACGTAAAAGTATTTCGTAGATCCCCCTATTTTGAACTGAATATATATATTCCATTGCCTTTTTATTCTGATGACAACTTAATGTGCAGTACGTAAAAAGATCTTTTCGAGCAGCGACTCCGATCCGGCGACTGACAGCCCTCGTCCTCCGCCAGACTCCCGACGTACCTGGGCAGCCTGGACACCGCGAGAGGAACGTCCCACTACGGCGAGCCTTCTTCCACTTGCTCGTCGCCGTATCTGGACGTCGAGCTGGGCGTCCCGCAGACCCGAGGCTTGGCGCACGAGCCCCTCGTGGGCCTGGGCAGCCTAGGGCACAGAGACGCCCACAGGGAACTCAGGCAGAGCCGGTCGCTCTCTTCCGCCGACCCTCTCATCGACAGCCTGTCGAGCAGGACCCTCGCGACGCCGGACTCCATCATGGACGTGCTGCAGGGGCGGTCCCTCAGTCCGACTGAAACGGTGATCGACGTGGTGCGGGGCAGAGCGCTCGGTCCCACGGAGTCCGTCGTGGACGTCATCAAGGGGAGGCCCCTGGGCTCGTCCGAATCCATGAGGGAGGTGACGAAGGGGAGGGCGTTAGACACCAACGAGGTCATCAGGGACGCGATCCACAGACGGTCTCTGGACCGCGGCGACGCCATGGTGGACGCCATGCACAGACGCTCCATGGACCGGGGCGAGTCGGTGGTGGAGATGATGCAGTCGCGGTCCCTGGCGCAGAACGACGCCATCGCCGACGTGATGCAGCGGTCCCTGGACAGGGGGGACGCCATGGTGGACGCGCTCCACAGACGCTCGTTCGACCACAGCGACGCCGTGGTGGACGCGATCCACAGAAGATCCCTGGACCGCGGAGAGTCCGTCGCCGACGTGATCCACGCGCGGTCCCTCGCTCAGGGCGACTCCATCTCCGACGTGATCCCCGGAGACACCCAGAGGCAACCCGAGCCCCTCAGGTCCATCTTGAAGAACAGGTACGAGGGCGGAGGACTGCTCTACCAGGGACAGTACTCCAACAGTGCCTACGCAGACGAGCGGAAGGGGTTGGCCGACACTGCCTATAGTCCACCGGATTATAAAGATTACCTTGATTCTTGAGGGTTGGTGGAATACCTAAACGATATCACGAATTTTTTATAAAGCAGTTTTTTCTCTTGTTGTGGTTGAACTTTAGATCTCTTCTCGTTCGAGTAACTTACTCTTGCTCCAAAAATATGGTGTCGTAATGTAACTCTTCCTTTCTTTCTTGTTGTAAGTAACTGACAGTTGAATAGACTCTAAAAAAACAAAAGAAGAAAGCTTATGTTTTTATTTTATATCCTCCATTTCATAGAAAGTAGAAAATATAAAGAAAAAATCCAACACAGTCTTGTTATTCTACATGTAAATAATGATAATAACAATGAAAATGATATTGTATCAGCAGAGATAATCATACAAATATTAGAGTCATCAGTATAAGTAGTTAAATATAAGTGTATTCCACAGATTATTAAAATTCCTATAATACCCACATAATACGACGCAGTTAAAGATTGAAATTGGTGACATATAATGCCTAACAATTGTAAAATGTAATAGTGATATCAACAGAAAACTCATATCACATATACATACATGCCATCATTTAACCATCCTGTTTTACATCAAATGACGCAATACAGTTGATTAAACGTAAAAATATGAAAAGTTTAAATATCCATTGGAATAAAACAATAAAAGTCGAAATTGATAACACAATCACCAATAGGATAAACAGAAATCACATCAACAAAATCACATAAACCCCCCCTCAAAAAAAAAAAAAAAAAAAAAAAAATTACTCGAAACACACTGCAAATAAAGAGACAATTGATATAAAAAAACAAAAAAGCAGGAAAAATAATCGTATAAACAAAAAAATTATATGTATATACGTTACTATAAACGCAATTTGCCTGAATGTTAAATAAAATATCGAGCTATAGAGAAATGCGAACATGAAAGGCTGTCATGATACTGTTGTGGCGATACTGATGATGTCAATGTTAATGTTAATGATGATTTGCAGAATAATGTATGTGATTTTTTTAAATGATAATAATAGTAATGATAATAACAATAAAGATGATCTAACTCATAAGGGAATATTGATAATGACGTACACAAAAACAAAATAATAACAATGATAATAACAGTAATGTCACAAATAACAATGATAATAACAATAATGTTACAAATAACAACACTAATGAAAAAATATTTATCATAAAAACAATGATAATAATGATAATGATAATTGTAATTAAAGAATAATAAAAATACTACTATGATGATGATATATACATATACAATAATGATGATGATGATGATGATAACAATGACAACAACAACAATGATGATAATGATAATAATAATAATGATAATAATAATAATATTATTATTAACAATAACAATAACAATAATAATGATAATGATAATCAATAACAATAATGATAATCAATAACAATAATGATAATAAAAGTAATAATGATAATGATAACAAGCATAGCGATGAAAACTGAAAGCATAATACCAAAATAATAGCAACAATGATAACTTTGATATTAACAATGATTATATTAATAGCATCAATGATAACAACAACAGCAACAACAACTACTACTGATAATGAGAATAATGATAATCACGATGATAACAATCTGATAAAAGATAGTAATAGCAGTGACAATGACAATGCTAATAATGATAATGATAATAATAATAAAAATGTAAGTGAAGATGAAAATGGTATCAATACTGATATTGATAATAATGATGTTAAATATATGATACTAATAATGATGAAAATAGTAATTATGATGATGATAATAACACCTATAGTGACAACAATAATAATAATATTTATAATAATAATGCAATGATAATGACAACGATAAAGATGATATTAACAGTAATGGCTGTTTTAATGGTAATGGAAATAATAATGATAATGGTCATAACAATAATATTACTAAGGCTTATAATGATCGTAATAATGATGATACTACTACTCCTATTACTACCACTGCCACAACTACTACTATGAATAATAATTACAATAATAACAACAACAATAACAATATTAATAGAATAGCACTAAGCGTGGTAATGTCAGTAATAATAACAATGATAATAAACATAATTATGATTATGGTAATGATAATGATAAAAAATAGCAATAATAATGATGATTGTAACTATGCAAATAATAATGATAACAAAAGTGATAATAAAAAAAATAACTAATGGCAAAAATGATAATGGCGACAATAATGATGATTGATATAATGATGATGATGATGATGATAATGATAATGATAATAATAGTAGTGATAATGATAAAGATAATAGTGATAATGATAATGGCAATAATAATAATGAAAATGATAAAGCATACAACAAAACAATAATTTTGATGGTGATCATATAGGTAATTGTAATAAGAATACAACTAACAATTGTGAAAATGATGGTCATGATTATGATGATGATGATGATAATGATGATAATAGTGATGATATCAACACTGATAAGATTATGTAGCTCTGCAAAAGCTACATGTAGTATGTGTATTATATATATATATATATATATATATATATATATATATATATATATATATATATATATATATATATATATATATATGACGGGGATGGAGATGGAGATGGAAATGAAAATGAAGGCAGGTTATTCCAGAACTTAACACGATGACAAATAATGGAATCTGGCTTTTGTGTGAAACAGCGGCTTGCACAGTCTAGTCCCTGCGTTACTCTTGACTGTTTAGTAGATTGTCACGCTATATATAAGTGAATAATAGATACATAACATTGCTAGAACATCAAGTTTAGATCTTATGTGATAGATGAAATAATAAATACACACACACACGCACACACACACACACACACACACACACACACACACACACACACACACTCACACTCACACTCACACTCACACACTCACACTCACACTCACACTCACACTCACACTCACACTCACACTCACACTCACACTCACACTCACACTCACACACACAAACACAAACACAAACACAAACACAACACAAACACAAACACAAACACACACACACCACACACACACACACACACACACACACACACACACACACACACACACAATCACAATCACACACAACACACAACAACACACACACACACACACACACACACACACAATCACAATCACACACAACACACACACACACACACACACACACACACACACACACACACACACACACACACATATATATATATCATATATTTATTCTACTTTGAAGTTTCCGCAGTAATTATACTCAGAACTTTCGTGCGCGTTTTCTATTTCCGTAAAATTATTTCTATTACAATTCACTTAGTGACTCTTTTCTTATTAATTGCGAGTTTGTTACTTTTTGTCTACTTATAAACTTTAATGAGTTCCTGATTTATAGTATTAGTTAATGTCGGGAGATAAGGGTTAATTATAAATAGCACTGAAACATCTGCATGTGATATAAGATTCAACAGTTTAGTCCCTTTTAGAACGAGTAGTAATGCTCCCAATAGTGGTACTTGTGCAACTACTTATCTGAATATTTTATAATCAGATTCTTCACTGGAATTGAACACAAGGTCTACGATTTTTTATGAGAGAAGCCATTTATTTAATAGACCTTTGATATCACTTCAGTTCAGCGAATAATATGATGATGATAAACAGCATCATATCCATTGTTCAAATTATCACAATTTCAGCAGTATTTCTTTTAAATATATCAACACTTTAAAGTACACGATCTGTAATATAAATTGATGCCAATTCGATTGCCCTCTCTTTTCTAAAACCATATCGACATTTTATTGAATCTGTCGTCCATATTGAAATGAATAAGGCTATCAAACAGTAAGTTCCTCGAGTGGTTTGCTAAAGACTCCAAAGACTACAATAGTTTTGTATGAGTTTATTATCTCCATTCTTGCATACTGAAGAACCCTTGGCTATAGTTATGAAATCGGGGAATCTACCTATGTTGAAATATGAATAGACGATATGAATTAAGGGTTTTTATGAAATTAGTGGCAGTTTCATTTAGGTTAGCAGGATCTAATATAATATCAATCACTGGCTTGGTTATATTTTCTTAAGATTATTACATTTTACTGTTCGCATTGTAGGTACTTTATTTCTAGCTCTGTGAAGTATTTTTGTATAAGTTTCTTCATAAAATTTCTTTACTACATCAGCTATTTGATGCCTGATGTTATATATATAGTTATATAGTCTATCAAAACATTCATATACATTTACTTATACTTATACCTATACATATACATATATATAAATAAACATAAATATAAACATACACATACACTTGTAGAAAAGGTATGAATGAGACTGGATATCTTCACAATACAAGAGATGTATTTGACCGGTTTCGATTACGTCTTCATTAGAAATACATATATTTCTGATGAAGACGTAATCGAAACCGGTCAAATACATTTCTTGTATTGTGAAGATATCCAGTCTCATTCATACCTTTTCTACATTTGTCAACATGGATACGGTTCATACACATACATATAAATATAAGTCTGTATATACATATACATAAATATATACATACATAGTCATACATACGCATGTATTTAATACTTTGGCATATATACGCATGAATTTAAACATATACACCTATCGATCTATCAGCTTCTCTCTCCATTTCTCCATCCATCCTTTACGTATCTATCTCTCTATACATATACAGATACCTTTAAAGAGTAAAAGCGATATATAAAAGAGAGAAAAAAATATATATATAAGCTTAATAGAACGGTTCACCTCCCAGCCCTGCTTTCCGAGGTCGTACGGGCGCCGTCGCCAATTAGCCAGCCCAAGGAAAATTTATCTGAATACAAGATCAGCGTTGGACTGAGGACTGTGCGGCCAGAAATTCCGTGTAATATAGAGAGATCTTTTTACAGATTATAGACATCTGGTGCAATGGACAAAATATAAGAAAAAATATACACCGAGGCAAGTGGAATGGATATCACTATCTTGCTAATAATTTTCTAAATGTTGTGTTCATCAGTAATGCATTCTAATCCCATTTTTTTAGGGATTAATTTAACATTTTAAAACTTGTATCAATCATTAATTTCTTAGTATCACCATGTGGATTTCAATATGGCCGATGGCTACATTACGCTTTACTTTTTTTGTTTATATATACACTTTTAAGATAATTTTAAACGC